AACTATTTTAAAGTTGATGTATTTTGAAAAACACTGTATTGTGAGATTTTCACTAGAACAGATTAACAAATCCGCAACACGTGTTTCGCTGCACAGTAGCTTTTTCAAGCGTGTTCACTAACAAACTGAATTCTACATACATTGTGATTTATATATACTTTTTGAAATATCACTATCTACCTAGAAACTAATAATATTCTAGGAACTAATTTACACCTGAGTTTAACGAACATTTATACCTGAGTTTAATGAGTAGGTCAACCAATTATCTCACAATAAAGTGTGAATGTGAAGAAAATCTATGATAATGTATTTTGACAAACAAGTATCGGCCAACTCTTTCTTATATTTTAAAGTTAATAAATATAACAGTCTATTTAATAAATATAATAAAATATATTTAATAAATGCAAAACAAAGTCACCTTCACAAGAAAGAGAATACACTACGCCTATGCAGATAAGGACGCTTGATAATGAAGAAACGGAGTGACTAGTTATGACATTTTAAGGACGCAAATATAATAGACCTGCGAAGTGTTGATCAGTTTACCGATGTTTCGAAGTATTTAACGAACTGGTTCACCTATTCGCTCGTATATCCTATCGATATGCAGAAGCTATCTTGTTACGGGAGGCAAATTATATGGAATTATCTTACTTTTCAATTATTTACAATGGCGATACATAGACAATAAAAATGACCCCGGTAAGAATTTAGTTCTAACATTTAACATTGTTGCCGTTAGCTCTCAGTTCAATTTGTATATGAGTTACCTTCAATTGAAAATTGTTATACTATAGTGATGTACCAATTAACAGGCTACACACACAATAATCGACTATTTTAATTACTGAACCATAACAGTTACAACGAATACAATCTGCCGGAATATTGAAAAATAATCAACCACATTGAACTGTTCGCATAATGATTATGAAGAGCACATGTGCAGGTAGGGTACACCTGTATCTGCAGACCCCTGACAGAGATATCAACCTGCCTAGGGACCTATTATTATTATTATTGTGATGTCATAAACAACCAACAAACATGCGTAGCGAAGTTACCACAGCTGAGTGAAATGTACCAATATGGATTATAAAGTTAGAAATCATTTTACCGTATTTTAAGGAGGAATGCATGCCGCCGCACTTGATTAAATATTTCTCGAAAGACGTACCTTTCAATAATTTATCAAATTCAGAAGTATCATTTTTGAGTACCAGTTGACTGAAAAAATCCATAGACTGTTATTAGAGAACCTCATTGAATAATGCTGAACATATTTTACGATTTTGAGACTATATATTTATGTGATAATTGTGATGCATTGTTTGGAACCTTTGGTATAGTAATGAATATTACTGGAGTTTTATCCCAACACCAAACCGTTATTTTAACGCCTCGACACGTGTTTCGATCACCAAGTGATCATCTTCAAGAGGAAGATTAAACTATGTGATACTACAGTTCATTGAAGTGAAATCAGTAAGAATTGACAGTTTCTGTTATGAAACAGAAACTAAGAATATCGGGCGTATGTTCTACAATAGCCTCAAGTTTTGTATGGTAGGGTAATCTCTTTAAATCAAGAAATTAGGCTTTAGAAAACTAATTATCTTTGTGGAAAACCTTTATAAAACACCTTATAGGTTGAATAACCCTCTTCAACAGTTACCAACAGATACCATTTTTTATGTTGATGCCATCTGGTTTGTCATTTGTAAGTATAGGTATGTGAAATATATTTTCAATAATGATTAAAATAAACTTTCCATGCACAACAGTAAAATAAAGCATTTACCATTTGCAGTCATATCTTTCGAGTGTAATATATCAACTTTTTTGTTTACAAACAAACTCAGACCATGTCAATAAACATCTGACTTTATGATCTGACCCCCCCCCCTAGAAAGAACTGGTGATAATTTTAATCACAATAATATGTTACCTAAATAAACGAAGTTAATTAATACATTCTCAGACAATTTGCCGGTTGCTATGCAAATATTATGAACGACATTAAACTTTATTCATTCCATGATTAACGTATCTATAAATTTTGTTTTTAACTGAAATAAATGATTGGAACTTTTTTTATACTTTTAACGTTTCGAAAGTAAATATACATATTTCTAAGACATTTTTCACCAATAATTTTTCAGGTTTTTTGAGATTAGAAAGGGATTATTTTTTAAAACGTAAGGCATTTTAGGAAAATTTCCTAAAATTTATTTCATTTAAATATAGGCAAAATTTATAAATTCGACAATTCTCTGACGAATTATATGGATTATATCATGCAGTAACTTTTTGGGATGAACTTTTCCATGTGCTTCTTCATTATCTACATTTCAAATTAATTCATTTTGCAGGTTGTGAGGTTTAGGAATCCGAAAGACATAAAGAAATATAGATCACTTTTACTTGAGCATGTAATATCCCTTGTTATAAATCGAAGTACTAACATCCAGTGTGTATATGGATGAACTGTAACGACACATCTATTTTTATAAAACCGATTTCTGAACTGCCACCGTAACAAATTGACCAAGTTTTTCTTGTATAATAGAAAACTAAGAGAAAATAACTTGTGTTTATTGTTATTTTTTTGTTTATTTTACTTTTTATCAAATGAAACCAAAATTTATGTATAGAAAAACTACCTTTTTCTTGTTAAGTTAATTATGCGGAGGTCTCTTACTCTTACTACATGATTACACCTCTTGAAGTAGTTCTTTACACAACACAATAAATTTAATTTCATAATGTTCGATGAAATTGGTGTTTACAAAGGTATTAACGTTGGTTTTAGTAACATTGGTTGTTAAAAATTCTCTTTTAGGATTCTGTGTAGACGTGGTCATGATTTGCTTATCATTATTAGAATATCAACAGGTAATTTTTATTTAATGAGTTTAGTAATAACCATTTCCTCTTTATTAGCCCTTGATATGTCATAACTGCTCCACATGTCATCCATTAAAATTTTCAAGAATTCGTCGTAAGTCTTTTCATACAGTGGAAAAATACAGATAATAAACTAGGTAAAATGAACAAAATTTTAAGAAAATAAATTCGTACACTGGCATAGTAGTTTATTGCTTAGTCAAATCTAATCGTGATTGCCAACTATATCTCAATTCCAGATGCTATTAGTAATGGGCACTACTATGTTTTTACACCGAACCCGAATCTGGTAATGTAACTTGATACACTTCCCAATCAGTTCAATTAAAAAAAATCTAGATGATACCATAGTCCAATCGGTAGTTGATGTTGAACTTTGGCTTTACAATGGCTTTTAATATTATCCATGACCCGGCTTTGTAATATAGTTGAGAATTTTATGGCTATTGGAGTCGGTAGCCGGTTGGGTTAGTGTGAGTGGTTTGTTCTGAGCATTCAATAGACTGCTATGTGGAACGATGGTTTGAGGTCTACAACCGAATGATCGATTTTCACTGCGTATCATCCAATCAGTGCTAGTAACCGTACGTCAAAAGGCAAGACCTCGTCATTCCTTAACTCGCACAATTTTCTTCTTCTGAGGGTTGTCATTCGTAGGGAGGTGACAGCTGGTTGTCGGAAAAATATATTTTTATTAGAATTAACAAATTTTCAAAGAGCCACGTCTTCAATTCAGAACAAAAAAATAACTTTGTTGCAGTTATTTTATTTCGATTGGATATTTCATCGCTGACAGTTATGGTCATCGTGTTCTGGGTAGCTTATTTTAATAATCCCTCGAACCACCGGGTTGAGAAAACCGGCCATCGGATGCCTGCTTCCACATAGCCCCGCTGGATACGGGAATGACAGTATCAATTGTGGTTATGTTATTCCCTAATTGAATGGCATTCCAACGATGGATTAATCCTAAGGTGTGTGTATCCGTACCGAGAGGATGAATGACACTGAGCCTATCAGCTGTCTCTAGGGAACCTTTAAGATACCGGGCGCCCTTTCGTAGTAGCATCGCCTTGTCATGGTAATGCGGGGCTCTGCCGTGATTGACCTTCTTTCCCTAGCTACTCGTAGGACTTTTATGGATATGGTGAATTTAAAAATTCTTTCTGACGCTGAGTCTACAGAGGAGATGGATGTCGAGCTTACGACTCCAACTGACCTCCCTGTGAATTTAGATCAGGAGCGAGAGCTTCTCAACTCTCCAACTCCAGATCCAATAACTGAACCTAAAAAAAAGTTTGGTGGTGCAGCCAGGAAACGACTGAGTCGTCTCCTCAAGAGCGGGGTACCTTATGAAACCGCCTTGCACCAAATTCTTGAGCGGCGTACGCAGAATCTGTCTCAGGTGGAGGAATAAACCCCCCATGAGCAGGTTAGCAAACGTTTGCGCTCAAGTGATGATTCACCAAAACCAGAGGCGAAAAAGCCCTGTACGGTTGAATCTAAGGCATCGTCAGGTGTAGCTGACAAAAACCTTCATATGGGAAGGTTGTCGCGGGTATCATGGTGGGAATCTTGCACCTTGACTACCCCACTACCTCATTGACGATGAAACAGCAGATCATATACTTTGTGCCTGCCCCGCTGGGGACCGAATCAGGTTTTTAGAGTTCGGCAGAGCCGTACTCTTACCATCTGACCTGAAAAATCATTAGAGTTCGGCAGAGCCGTACTCTTACCATCTGACCTGAAAAATCACTCGCCACATAAACTAATCGGCTTCGTTAAGAAGCTGGGTCTATTTGGTCGGGTGCGGATAGGTGTGAGCCACAATAAACCATTGCGGGTTGCGGTGGAGGGTCGAATAGACCCACTCACTTTGGACCTAACCTAGCTTAACTTAACCACCTACAGAGTATCACGAATTATTTCAAATCAATAAATTCTCGTGACAAAAAGTATATTGTCGAAGTCAGATTGAAACTTGGTTATTTTTATGTTTTGGTGAAAACTGGTTTTTGATGTTTCTTGCACATCTTTACAGCTATTTAGTTCTTTATTGCTAATGATAGTTTTATCTATTTCAGGAAGCCTTGGCTCAGATATCAGAATATTCAGAAGCTGGCATCACTGTTAGGGGTACTTACGTCCCTACTGGCAAGTCACCTCCCGAGGGAGAAAGAAAATTATATTTAGCAATTGAAAGTACATCTGACATAGCAGTTTCTAAAGCAAAAGCTGAAATCACGAGGTTAATCAAAGAGGAACTACTCAAGTTACAAACCGCAGGACATCATACATTTAATAAGGCTAGATATAAGGTCGTGTAAATATTTTTGTAATTGTTTTTGGGATTCTTGATTAAGTATCTGTTGATTGTATAATTATTGATGGAATTCAATTATGTCAGCTGCGTGTGCGAAACCTACCAGTGTTGAAGAAGTATTTACCAGTTTTACACACTTTGTCTGTTTCTATGATTTATAGAGAATAAATAGGGTCTACTTTCATGTTAGTCTTTCATTTCATTTTCAATTTTCATTCAGAATTTACATACATATGAGAATATTTACTTCTATATGAACTTTAAAAATGATCTGATTCTTCTGAAGCAACCAGATGAAAAGGTAAATGGTATGTAGAAGGTATATTGAACAAAAATGTGTGTTGTGACTAGTGATAAGAAATTTCCATGTTGTTTTTGCGATAGTTACTCTAATATACTTTTTTGCTATATATTATTAGATACTAGCGAGTCGCCCCGGCTGCGCAACCGGGCGGAGCTGGGGTGATACTGGTACTAAATATACTACAGAATGTCTATACAAGGTTCATAGATTTTTTGTCAGTAGACAATATAAACATGTTTTCTTTAGAGCTTATTTTTGAAAGAGCGACATATAATTGGCCCGGTACCGACGCAACCGCTATGTCCCTGTATTTTAAATCTGTAATATCTCCGAAAATATTCATTCAAATTAGATGCTGTAAGGGGTCATAATAATCACACAATGCACAGGTAAGATAAGGGATATATAAGATAATTTTATAAACGCGCCTTTATCCCCCGCGGTTGGCGTTTTGGAATATTTAAAAATCTTTATTGCATATCTAAAACATGAAACGAACCTATATACAAAATTTCAGTCTCCGAAAATATACCGGTGTGCAGAAACAGTAATGAAAAAAAAAATTGTTTTAAGGACGCGCCTTGTTTCCCCGCGGCTGGCGCACCAGTTGGTATATTCAAAAATAATTCCTTATTGCACATCTACAATATAAAACAAACATACATACAAAATTTAAGCCTTCGAAAATATACCGGTACGGAGAAACAGTGATGAAAAGGTAACTTTATTTTATGAACGCGCCTTTTTCCCTCGCAGATGGCGCCTCAGTTGAAATATTTAAAAATTCTTTCTTATTGAAAAACGAACCTACCTACGTACAAAATTTCAGTCTCCGAAAATATACCGGTACGGAGAAATAGTGATNTATTCTGTAGATATACAGGTGAATATCCAATTTTGATTTTAAAAATAAAAATTAGTATTTGGTACTCGAAGAGTTTCTTCACTGGTAGCCATTGAAGGGTTTGCAACATATTTGCTATGGGTGTTATCTTCGAACATTGTATGATTATTCGCATGGCACGATTCTGCATCTTTTGTAGTCTGTTCATTTCCTTTTGATTGAGAAAAACAATAGAACAATAATTTAAATGTGGAAGGATTATGGAGTTGTATACTAATAATTCAGACCATGTCTCATATATAGGGAACACATAATGATGATTTTGTAAGCTATTGTTTTGTTAACTTTTAGCATGTTCCTTGAATTTTAATTTGCTGTCAATAGTTACACCCAAGTACACGAATTTGTTTACATTTTCTATATCACTGTCATTCAATCGTAGAAGTAGGTTTTCATTATTATGATCTTTATGTTTCCCTAATAACATCCATTTTGTTTCATTTACGTTCACCTTTGGCAGATTTGCAGAGCAATATCTGTACACCCTTTCAAAACTAGGGTTCATAGCATCAACACACTCATGTACATATTCAATTCTAAAGTTCAGTAGAATATCGTGGGCAAATAAGTGAATTTCAAATCATATAAAGGAACAATTCATTTAGGCCAGTCTCAACTCCCTACACTGTAGGTTAATGGACTGACAGCTATCAGAAAACAACTATTCCCCTGGCTATTACCACGAAGAGTTTTAGATTATATCCGACAATGATATAATGAATCACACCACCCGCTGACCACCATACATTAACTATGGTCCATTTCTGGTGGTGGAGTTCCTGGTTGGTTCCTGGTTGGTTTCCAACTACTATCCCGAACGTCTCCTGTTGTCGTAGAGGATCAAATAAACGAATGTTTCGGTTTTGCGAAAGCAAAGAAGAACAGACATCGAAACGTGACAATCTGTCCATCGTTCAAATCGAGCTTTTTGTCCTTTCCAATACGTTGAAAACCATAAAAAATCGCAGTTCTTCCGCCATCCCATGCATCGTTTGTGACTGGTGAATCTCCACCAGGGTCTCAAATGCTCGTCCTGGATTACCCGAGTTAATCCAGGAAGAGAACATAGAAAATTTAGCAAACCAACGTCTAACAGTGCGTTCATTAACACTATCTTTGCCAAATGCCTTTTTCCATATCGCATTGGTTCAAATACTCCTTACCTGTTTTATTATTAAACATCACTACTTCATTAGTTTTTCATCTATCATCGTGCTTTTATTTTCTTTATTATCGACCTGTATTTTTTGATACGTTATAGATAAACATGAAAAATATTTCATTAGCTCGGCCTTCCATTACCCTTCACCGCAACCCGCAAGGGTTTATTGTGGCTCACATCCATTCACACTCGACTAAATAAACCCAGTTTCTTAACGAAGCCGATTAGTTTGTAAGGTGAGTGGTCTTTCAGGTCAGATGGAAGAGTACGACTCTGTCGAACTCTAAAAACCTGATTCGGTTCCCAGCGGGGCAGGCACAAAGTATATGCTCTGCTGTTTCATCGTTAATGAGGTAGTCGGATAGTCAAGGTGCAAAATTCCCACCTTGATATCCGCGACAACCTTCCCATATGAGGGTTTTTGCACGTCGGCTACACCTGACGATGCCTTAGATTCAACCTTGCAGGACTTTTTCGCCTCTGGTTTTGGTGAATCATCACTTGAACGCAAACGTT